ACTCTGTAAAGAAAAAAAAAAAATAAGTAACAATGTTATCATCGCACCTTCCTGGATAGGAATCCAGAAGATAAAAATCTTCACGGGTGACTTCCTGTAAGAATGTGCATGCAGGACTCACTCAACCGCAGCGTGTCTCATATTTCTATCATGCTAAACAAAGTAAGTGACGAAGTTATCATACCTTCCTGAATGGGAATTCAAGAGATAGGAACCTTCACGGGCGACTTCCTGTAAGAATGTGCATGCAGGACTCACTCAACCGCAGCATGTCTTGCATTCCTACCATGCTAAACTATCATCATCACTTAATAAATGAACTCAGTGAACAAAAATGCTCACCTTATATTCTTCATTAAAATTCATATTGGATACGTCAGAGTAATTCTCATTGGATATGTCAAAATAATTCATGTTGGATGTGTCAGAATACTTCATGTTGGATGTGTCAGAATGATTCATATTGGATATGTTAGGGTAATTCTTATCTTTAGGTGCGTTTTGAGCCATATCTTGGAAAGAAATAAAAAAAAAAAAATGAAATGTTTATATACCTGCCAATATCGATATTGCCTTGTATCACAGGAAAAAATCGAGATGTTTTCATGTGTGTTTAATTTCCTAATTAGCATGTATACTTGTGTTCATCATGGGAGGACTTTCGTCTAATTGGCTGATGTAAATCAATTACTCGGGTAACTTATTTATATACCTTAACGTTAAAAGTACTTATTGGGAACACAACACCTCACTAATAAAAATCACCATAAACATCGTTTGTACGTAGCCTTAAATTATTATCCTGAAAATATTTCTGACATTGCATTGTACTTATCTATGATCGGATTTAATTCACATGACAAATGTGAATCACTATTACTGTATATTATCAAAAAAAAAATATATATATATATACCGCACAAACTTAGTCGTGAAAATCTCGTTATTTTGTGGTATCGACTCAAAGTTTCATCAGAAACAAGTTGTTTTAAAAGCACTGGGTAATTAATATGTAATACTGTATGATTTAATAATGGATTGGTAAAATGATCAATAAACTGTTAAATGGGTAAGGGGTTAATAAACCGTTAAACGATTAATGCAGCTAAACGATTAATAAACCGTTAAACGATTAATAAGCGGTTAAACGATTAATAATCGTGTAACCTATAGTCAAGCGACGCAATTAATCGCTAATATAATTTTTCACGGTTCCAACCCTAGAGAAAATAATCTTGGATCAGAAGGAGCATGAACACAACGCTAACTTCTGACTTCTGTGGATCTTAGAAATAATAAACTTGGATCAAGTGAAAAAGCATTAGCAAGCACATCTTACAAGATACCATACTGACTTTCTTTGAATCGGAAGAAGGAAAAGCATTAGAAAGTGCACTTTGCAAAAACACTACACAGGTTTTAATTTTTAGCCAGAATGAAATAGATCAGGAGGAAAAGCATTAACACATGTGCTTTGGAATAACTATATTAATTTACTAGATTTTATAAAACGTAAATAACAATTATAAAAGATATATCTACATAGCACAGTACAGAATCATACTCTGCAGAATATGATGAGAAATTTTCATAGGAATCATAGTTGATAAGGTGCATAGTGTTTGTAGTCGACCTAATTTATCAACTCGACTAAGTTGATATTTAAAAAATTGGCTTAGTAGATTATGCCAAGTTAATTGCCTATAATGTTCCCTGCATCCACGCTTGTCATCTAGGTTGTTTGATTATCTTAGTCGACTAAGTCGATTTTATCGACTAACACAAAATCGACTATAATCATTAATTCGAATGCCTTATATTTGTCGTGATTGAAATTAGCAAACAAATTTTAGAGGCTAATTTCAATTAATACCAAAACCATGTACTGTATATGGCTTCCGCGAACATGATATTCTACGTCCAAACCAAGTTTTTTCACTCCGTTCTTACAATCAAGTCAATGATCTTATTTCGGATGATCCTTCGTTCCCGACAAATTGAGACTCGCAGGCTGTGATTTTAAGGTTACTAATATTCCAATCGTAACTCGTATCATTCTGTTTAGTACAACAAACCAGCATTTTTACAAATATTCGTGATGATAATTCAGCGAATAATGAATCGACGAAAATTTGATTAGAAGAGTTCATATAGAATAAATGGTTTTAACTGATACATTGATCTCAAGAACACGAAGTCACCAGTTTTAACAGTAAGAAATACAATCCAGCAATCGCTTCATCAATGAAATTTCTTAAACAAAAATTAAAATCACTAATGATTCAAACATGTTATTTGTTAGATGTCAGATAGATAGTCTATAAAAGATTTATTGTCTCGACTGAAGCTGGAAATAAAAGCTCCATACAGTTTTAATAGAAGTTCATAAATCATAATTTTATAATTGATCCATTTCTATAGACCATGGATTTTAAACTCATCTATGCACATTTATATTTCTCTGATATAACTTCTTCAGCGGGTATGTAAGAAAACCTTGATGCAATCAGAAAAAATTAGTTAAGTCATTAGCTCATAAAAGATTCGCCAAAACAAGTATTATATGAATGAATTTACGTAGTCTCTTCCCATCTTGCTTGTGGATGTATATTGCCCTCCTCTTACCAATAACTGATGAAATTTTGTTAATTCATCGACAGATTTAGGAACAACATTAGCGCTAGGAATGACTAGTTAGCCAAAAACTAGCAAAAACTAGATGTGAAGTAATAGTTGCAATATCTATCTACCTTTGGGCCAAAGTAACAGAGGTGCTCTCTGTCTATTTTAAAAATATGCCAATATTGTCATGTTTTGAAGTAAAGTTAAAGTCGCTCATTTTTTAACGTCAGTTTGCTATCGTTAAACATTGGGCTAGAGCTGCCATACAAGGTCGGAAGATATTTAATTAAGGTTAGGGTCAGTACAGACTATTATGGAGCGGATATTATTAGTCAATAGTCTTCCTGACGCTTTTACTCAATGTACTAAGATAGGTTCAGGTATCCATTTCTTGTTTTTTTACAGGTTTCTTTTTTGCTTCGTCAGGCTCATCTATGTAAATGAAAATTTACGATTTTGATTGGTCGTAAGCAACGGGAAATCTCGTAAAACTGACACGCAACCAATTGTAATACTTTTTTTGCATTATATGATCTTACATATGGACGGATCTATTTCCAATGAGATTATTTGCAAATCTCACACTGATTGGTTGATTTATTTAAAACTATTAACATCTCTAAAATTTTATATATTTTTCAAGCTAAAAAAATTTTTTCTTAAAACAAATATTAATTTTATAAGTAAATTACAAAATCTATAATAATTAAAATTATAATTCTTTATTCAAACTACTGTATAAAATTATATAAAAAAAACTATAGATTAAAATTAAATTTTTTACAAAATAAATTTTTATAAAGTTATCAATTAAGAATCATCAAAATATTTGCTATATATATATTTTTTTAGTAGAATTTACTTAAGCAAATTAGAAAAAAAAGGTTTTATATTTTTTAAATAATAATAAAACTATTTGAATTATAATAATTAATAGTAATAGTAATAATAATAATAAATACTGTAATACCAAAAAAAAATTACAAAAAAATCTTAAAATAGTAAAAACTTTAGTATTATAAGGTTTTATTCTATATTTATTTGTCAGCTAAAATTTTTTACTTTTTGTTTTTTTTATATTATCTTTTTACTAGACAGATAAATTGATAATTATTAATATCAAAAACTACAGCAAAAGAATTTGGTAATCTTTTCCAAACCTATACCAGATAATATAATCAATAAATATCAATATTAATTTTGCAATCTTAATAATTAAAAAAAATTAAATTATCAACACAAATATAGAGTATTCTCAAGCACTTGATCAATAAACCAAAATATATTAGAAATGTGTTAAAAATTACATTTTAGAATTTTATTTACTAACGATAACCGGTAGTAATCATCACCAGTGTGTAATTAGCCAATAAATTTACAGGATCAGGTGTAACATGCAAATCGGTTTGTATAACACAAATTAAATTTTCGTCTATGAAACTACCTTCGACATTCTAGCAAAAAAAATCCCTTGCTAAATTTTGCATATATTTTACACCTTACTAAAATCCCAGGCCTTGCCCTAACTTAAAGTAAATAAAATTTTTTTTTTTTTGCTTTATCGTTATTGGCTAATTACACACCAGTGATGATCACCGCCGGTTATTTGTAGTTAAATTCTAAATTGTAACAAGAGCGGATAATTGTCTTTGGGGGAAGTTCTCATCTTCGTAAAGAATTTCGCTATGAATGACAAGACAAGGAGATCCCAAGAAAGTGAGCCTTTATTCTTGTAACGAAAATGTGCTGGTGTATAAGTAATAGTTATTTCACGTTTTATCATAGATATCATTAAACATCACGGATC